GGTAAATCGGTATCAAAATTGGCTAGGATAGGTCTTTGCCTAAAATTATTTTTTATTAAAAAAATTTATAAAGTTAGTATTATTTAATTATATTTATTACATTCAGTTGGTAGAATGTAATGTTTTTTTATAAATTTTTGTTTCAAGATCCACCCTTCAAAACACGTAAATAAAATTGATTTTAAAAATATCTTTTTTATTAGTATTTTTTTAAATAAAAAAAACATTTTATTTTCAGATGTTTAATATCAAATCTTTAACTGAAAAATCGAGAAGTTTATAAATTATTACCTTATAAACAAACTTATCAAATTAAACGGGGTATAACATATATAAAAGAAAATGTATTTAAGGGTAATTAAAAGGTATTTAATGATACAACAGTTCAAAATTAACAAAAAATTGCTATAACACTATCTAAAGAGTAGGATAAACTAATAAAAAAACAACAACAAAAAAACACAACAAAAGCAACCTTTAGGATGTGTGTGTTCACATTGCCTAATTAATAGATCATACGGTTTTTACACAATATACCGTTCATCGTACAACTATGTTACGAAGGCTTTTGTCATGTTGTAGAGGATGACTAAAGATCCAAAAGGTGTCATATATGTTTTTAAAGACGTTAATAATAATGATAACGTTTTATATAAATGTAAAATTGGTATAAATACTAAAATTACCTTTTCACATATATAACTTTAGAAAAACCATATATACCAATCAAAATTGCAAATGTGACACTTGCCTTAAAAACCTCTATAAAAAAATGTAAAACATCTTTACAACATTAAACATTATATTTTAAGTCCTAAGTTTAGAAAGAAAATAAATTTAAAGTTTAAAAATTATTAGATTAAAACATAAAAAATAAATTAAAAGTAACATCATTAATTCTAAACAACACAATAATTAACATTAACTCTAATCAACTAAACAACCTTAACTCGAGAAAACTAAATAACCTTAACTCTAGTCAACTAAATAATATCAACTCTAATCAACTAAATAACCTTAACTCTAATCAACTAAATAACCTTAACTCGAGACAACTAAATGACCTTAACTCTAGTCAACTAAATAACATTAACTCTAGGCAACTAAATAACATTAACTCTAGGCAACTAAATAATATTAACTCTAATCAACTAAATAACCTTAACACGAGACAACTAAATAACCTTAACTCTAGTCAACTAAATAACCTTAACTCTAGGAAACTAAATAACATTGTCTCTAGGCAACTAAATAATATTAACTCTAATCAACTAAATAACCTTAACTCTAGGCAACTAAATAATATTAACTCTAATCAACTAAATAACCTTAACTCGAGACAACTAAATAACCTTAACTCTAGTCAACTAAATAACCTCAACTCTAGGAAACTAAATAACATTAACTCTAGGCAACTAAATAACATTGTCTCTAGGCAACTAAATAATATTAACTCTAATCAACTAAATAACATTAACTCTAATCAACTAAATAATATTAACTCAAGACAACTATAACTTTAACCCTAACCAACTAAATAATATTAACTCTAAACATTAAAATTATTAAGATTCACCCAAAAAAAGTAATAAAATTAACTCTAAACAACTAAATAAATACCTCAGTAAACTTGCAAAATAGTAACACTCTAAATTGCTAAATTATAAAAAATAATTTAATTATTATACAAACAAATTATTGATGATTTAAAACTATAAAGTTATTGAGCACTTCGAACAAAACCATTCAGCACTCTCATGTGCCAACACATATTCTAGTATATTTTCACATGTACGATGAAACCAGCATTCACATTTTTCACACTGTACCATATGCCTAAATTTAATGTTGCTTTGCGTACAAATATACTAATGAAAACTATAATAAAGATAACTAGTTAAAAATATAATTATAAGAAATGACTGACACAACAAGTGCTACGATACCATTAAAGATAATTCACTAACCTATCTTTTATAAATTTATCTGAAGCTGTTCATACTTGTCTGCAAATGCAATATAGATTAAATACAAATTTCTTTTCTTTACAAAACATTGTTTTTTTTGAAGTTTTCGGAAATTCATTTAGGTGGTTTCCCGAAATACTTTGAAGTAAATGCTTTCGCATATCAACATCTTCAAATCCAATATAACATGGATTCAAACCAGTAAAAGCAATGTGCTTCGCAAATGCCAATGCAAACAAGCCACAATCTATAGTATTTGCTTGTTGCTGTACAGGTAAAACTCGTACAGTTAAAATGTCCTTGGTACACTGCATTATTGCACAAATTTGCCTGATGACATGATTTTTGACTTTACCATGAAACATGCTGTCTAACAGGCACACCTCACCATCAGAACACCTAAAAGTACTAACTGTTAGCCAATGTGCATCACCATCATGCAAAACCTGAACAAAAGATTCTTTGATTGCATGAAATGATAAATTTTGACCCAAAACTGGATCCCGTAGGCCACTAACACCACTAATCATATTTTGGACAGAATGGATCACTGTGTCTGATAACATCTGGTTGGTTTTAATATCATTCAAATCTTCAGCAGAAAGATTAGTCTTATAAACTACATTTGCTTCAAAACATTCTTCATCGTTATCGGAAAGAAAAATTACCTCTTCCTCCATTGATCTATTATTGTCAATGGATTTTTCAACTATTTCTAATTTAAATGTGTCGGTTAGGTAAACTTCTTCTGTAATAAATATTTTTGAAGCAGCTATAGCCTCATCTTTTCTAGATCCAACACGTTTAAATGGAAGTTTTATTGGTTTCCGAATAGGTATTTGGATGTGTCTCATTAATGAATTACTTGATTTATCATTTAACCGGCGAACAGCAATACCTGATTCTTTTACTCTTCCTTTGTTCAACTTTTCAATAAGTGAAGAAAGAGTTTTGTGCAGTAGCATGATTTCAAAGGAGTTTTCATCAAACTCAAATGATAAATTTTTCACTGTATTTAACATCTCCCTTACATCTACACCAGAATAAATGGGTTGAGTATTTTTATATGACTGTTTCTGATTGACATTGACAGTCTGTTCTTGTATTAGAGGCAACAATGCCTTGAATTTTAAAAGCTGTTTTTTCATGCTCTATTTCATAATTTTCGGAATCTATATTCAAGTATGGAGAATTCCAATAAAGAATAGACAATGCATTCCACGACCATGCAGGATACTTCCGGAATACAACAAAAAAGTGTTTGCATAAGTAAGCTGTTGATAGCCAATCAACACAGGTACATTTTGGCATACTGATCTCATCACCGAATGATATAAAATATTAAACTGAAGTATTAAAGGTACTAGATACTGAAAAAATACCAGATTTAATAACTACTTTGTTTAAATCCATGCAATCAGCGGTGGACTTTTGCTTTAAGCAATGCTTAACAAAACTGTGCGGGCGATTGTAGAGATATTTTGGCACCCAACAAGCATATCTTTTGTATCGGGCATCCATTTTGAAGTTGAAGTCAGTGTAACTAAAATTTGCAGATACAATACTTTACCAACACTTTAGACATTATTCTATACAAAATAAAATTTATTATTTCTTTATTTAAAGTGAAGTTAAAATTTTAGTACAGAAAAAGTATACTATCATAGAGAAATATTAGTTACCTTGTCTTCAATATTTAGAAAATGTTTGGGAAAAAAACACTAACCTTTCTAGTTTATCAGTGAAAAATTCCTCGGTAAATAAGGTCAACATTCCAGTCATAGAAGAACTATTGTATCTTTTTAAATGGGAATATTTAAAAGATGCATTTTGCCTCTCGACACCATTGTTTGTGTTACAACTGATTAGTAGACGATTTTGTCTGTAGCAGCAGATCCACTTCTACATTAAAACAGCATTTTATTTTACAAACTCAATCCATGTAAAGGTTTTAAAAAAATCTATTATCAAAAAAAAGTATAGTGAGTTGACTCATGCTTAATAATAAATACCTTCTTTATTGGCAACCAATACGTTTCAATATAATGTTTTAATTTAGAAAAACTTTCAAGTTTCCAGAATTCTGAAAACTCTAACACTTGTGTGGCTTTTATCTCCTCTTCACAAGTTTTTGACCAAGCAATATAGTCAAAATTTCATCTTTTCTGCTGTAGCAACCATTTGCTTTCTTTTTAAGCCAACGATCCCATGCCTGCTCTCTATGAAAATTGCATATAAAAACTTCACATCCTAATAAAAAAACAAAACTAAGAATTTATAATCAGCATGACACTGATTTCAAAAACAATTTGTGTTTAAGATTGGTTAATACAAAACAAAGAAATCATTTTTATAAGCAAGTAAATGTAGATAAACAGTAAAAAACAAACCAATAAAAACAGTTTCCACAGCTCGCATTTCCTCATTATAATAAGCAGTCATACAATATAAGGGTTTTAGATCAATATTCCAATACTTTATTACATTCAATGCTTTTTTAATTGATTCAAAGGTTTCATTTTCTGAAACAAATGTTGCTACAATTTGGAAATCAACATTAGTTTTTACAACTAAAAAAAACAAGGGCAACGAATACTGAATGGTTTTGTATGTCGCATCTAAAAAGATCATTTCATTCCCATATTTATTGAGCAGTTTCTTTTGCCAGCCTGCTTGGTAAACAAAAACGAACTCATCTTCATGTTCACTCACTTTTGGTTCAAAATGGATGTTAAGAATCATCTCTATTCTTCCACTCTTTTATTTTGCTTTCTAAGCATTCCTGGTCAATGTTTGAGAATCTAAAAAAAAAACTAATGTGTTAATTGAAAAAATATTAAAACCACCTTAAAATATAAATGTCTTTGATTTTTTTTGCTTTAGGTAAAAAAATTTTGTATTTCTGCTAACAGATATGCTTTCTAAGTTACTTCTTGGATACAGGCTAGCATGGAATCTTTTATTTCATCTCAATGATTTCTAGTCAAATCTCACTCTACTTTTGTGATTTTCTTCTTATTGTGCTACTCCAATATCTAATCATAATCATTAGTTCCATGTCTATCCACCAAAAAAATTCTTTAGAAAGCAATTGTCTGTTTACCATTGCTATTAAAAAAACTATTATAAAAAGATTTTGTGTAACACTATAACCCATCATTCTCAGGTTTCCAAATCTTGTATTTAATCTCATGAATCAGGCTATACTAGAGAATCTTCAGTGTTGAGTACTCTTATGAGCACATACTTATGAGATATGTCATTGGTGTTTGCATAATGCTGGCCCACTACTCTGTAGTTTTAGCACTTTGGCGTGACACAAATGTTTTAAATTGTTTTTAAAACAGTTTTCTAGTTATATTGCTAAGATTATCTTAAATAATAAATTATTACATTACTGAAGATTCTAAAGGACGAAAATATTGTCTAATATTGTTAAAATTGTGTGTGTGTGTGTGTGTGTGTGTGTGTGTGAGTGTGAGAGTGAGAGTGTGTGTGTGTGTGTGACTATATATACATACATACATATCATATATATATATATATATATATATATATATATATATATATATATATATATATATATATATATATATATATATATATATATATATATATATATATATATATATATATATATATATTCAAGTATTGCAAATAATTTAACTTTTGCTAAATCAAGCACTAAATAAAAAAGTCTGTAAATTTACAACCTCTAACCTTGATGCTTGATGCAATATAGTAAATAATGCATCAAGTGGCTTTAAGACACTCATGATATGTGTGTAAGTTTTACATCTATTTTTACACACTTCAATAGTTTTGATTGGTTTTTTATAATGACATATAAATGATATTGTGAAACTAACTAATAACAAATAATACATTTTAATACAAACTAAAAGCTGAAAAAACTATACAGATATATCTGAATAATTCCTTAAGAGAATAAAGGTTCCTTGATAACTTTGATGGATGGAATGACTTAGAGGATAAAGTTTTAGAGGAAAATATGTAGAAAATATAATTAAACTTTTTTTATTAAATTTTTATTTGAAAACAAGTTTACAATTAAAGAGCTGAATTGCAAAACCAAATAATTCACTTTAAAAAAAAAAAGACTGAGCAATTTTTTTTTGTAGTAATAATATTCCTACATCTTTATGAATTATTTAAAAGCAACTATTTTAATAACATTTTACCTGCCTTAAATTATTCTGTTCGTACAAAACTAGATTAAAAAAAAAGTCTAAGGCAGAGGGGTGTTATGCACAATTATATTGATTATTAAATTATAATTATATTGATTATTATCGTCACTAGTCAAGTTGACTTTATAAAGCCATTTTGAAAACTAGTTAGGAATAAATTTCCGGTCAAAACCAGATATAAAAATAATTGGCATGCAAAACCAGATAAAAGGTTTTTTTTAAGAATGTAATAAAAATAAGATCAAAAGAGCACAATTTTCAAGTTTTTGCCTTAAACATTCTTTTAATAATATCTATTGATTAACTTTTAATTTTTTATTTTTAGCAATTTGATTTACTAGAAAACATTTTTTGCTATTATCTCAGAATTAAAAAAAAGTGAATTGAAGGGTTTTGCGAGTCCACTCCTCAATTGATGTTATATTACCTTAGCTTTTTACATTCCATAACTATATGAGCACGGATAATATCATTTCTTGGATAAAATCTACAGTTGTTAGGAGTGGGAAGACTTTTTTCTCCAAACATCTCATCAACAGTTAATTTCAAAATTCTTTTTATCTCACGTACATTTGAAACACCTTGTTTAACAAACTCAGAAATTTTACTTGACAACCGATGGTCTATTTTTTGAGACAGAAGTTCACTCTAAACAATATTTTTACTGATATAGTTTTCTACTACCATTAGGGTGGTCCATTTTAACATTTTTTTTTTGTTTAAATTAATAAGACATGTTGACTTATGTTGACTTCAGGGTTGACTTATGTTGACTTATGTAAGACATGTTGACATGTTGACTTACTTTTGGTCTAAAAATGAACTGCGCAAAGTTTCAGGTTGAAAAAAATATATTTAGGGGTTGCTCAAGCATATCAAAGTCTATAATATTTTATGGTTTTGCCAAAAAAGTTTTAAAAACTAGAGTTTTTGTGCAGACTGTGTATTTTTGTTGTGTTTAATCATTGTGTTTCATTATCAATGTAGGAATATTGTAGAAATTTTTATTTCATTCAGTAGATGTCAGCACTATACTTAGTATACTTCTAGAATAATTATTACATACAATTTTAAACACCCTTATTTGGTAATATTATTATTATCAATTATGGAATTAACTTTTTGAATTAACACTTCTTCATTCATTTTAATAGAGTTTGTTTGCACAATTTATTGCAGATCAAATAATTTAGAATAAAAAATGGTTACAGCTGCAATAAATATACAAACACGAAAAGCAACAGAAATATATTTGATTGGGCAACCATTAGAGAATTTTGGTGAGTGATTCCTTCCAACAGAATGTTTTAAAGTGTATCTTCTTTATTGAAAGCAACAGTTAGGAGAATCTAGCAGTCTAGCTTTGCTCGAAAAAGTATACCTGATGATTATGCCGAACTGTGTCAACTGTCATTGTATTTTCTGACGCGAGAATTATGTGCTCCAATCAGGAAGCTTGTTGCATACCATCATGCCAGGTGGATGGGCGAGGCTATCTATGCGATAGAAATCTTGTTGTTCTGGAAGCAAATGAAACTGACAAAAAGGAGGAGACTGGTCTACATGAAGTGTCTCTCTTCATTATCTTGATTTACTCTAGAGTCTGGATAGAGGCTCTGCGAGCTTATGAGGGAACCGTCAATGATAAGGCTTATTTTTAATTGATAATTGTGAAAGCCGTCTTAAATTCTTTTATTTGTTCCTGCAATTTGCATTTTTTTTAATATATGATTCATTTGATGTATAGCTTGAAACTTTGATAGCATTGAGCAACCTCTAAATACAGTCCAAACTATGTAATATTTTGCACAGTGGCTTTTTTGAACAAAATGAACATAACAAACAATATGCCTCTGAAATATATAAAACTTGACTTTTTTGGACCACCCTAACTACCATAGTAATGTAAACTTTTGAAGTAAACATTTATAGAAAATAACTGCTTGTTAAAGCAAATGCAATTATCAAAATACCTACAACTTCTATAAAAGCTGTGTAATTTTACCTTTCCAAGAGGATGATTTTTGTGACATATTAAGTTGTCTATCTCAACCTTAATTTTTTAAGAATATGTCATGACATTTTGTTGTGACAAAGCATTGTGAATACTTTTAGACACTTGCCTCTTGTAATAATTACTTGGGTTAACAACCTAAAAAAAAATCCAAAATAAAAAATTAGTTTAAAGAGATTTTGAAAGTTAACCTTTTTGAAACTTAAGTTCTTTTTGAATTCTAAAGTGACATCTGTTATTAAAAGACATTTGACTGAGACCTGTGACAATCAATGTCTTGAGTCTAGCAAATCCGGCTCAATTTATCTGTCCAGACAAAATGTTTTTGGATTCATTGCTTTTCCAATCATTTGCTAGAAGGTTGTCAGACAGCAAAGATCAATGAGGATATACCCAGCTAATACAAAACATTCAACGAATGTGCAAACATTCAAGAACATTCTACGAATGTTCATAGAACGTGCTTAAACGTTTGCAATGTTCATCAAACATACTTGAACGTTTTGTGTTAGCTGGGTAGTAAAACATGTGAAAAGGTAAAATAAAGGGCAAGACTCATAATTTAAAAAAAAAATTTACAAAAAACTCTGCTTTGTGTCTTTGTATTCTTTAATTTTTTTGTTATGTCTCATTATCATTAACAGTGCACCTCAAAATGTAGGGGTGGGGAGCTTGAAAAAAAAATGAATGGCTCGAGCTCTAAGTTTATTCAAACTTATAGCTCTGACTCTGGATTTTAGTTTTTTGGAATGTATTGCACAAACTCTGATTCCCAACTTTTTTTAAGGCTCTGACTCTTTTCATTATCTTTTTATGTATTTTTTAAATCAACTATAATCATTAATTTATTATATTTATTAATTTATTTATAAATTATCACATAGACTGAATGAAAGGCTGTTTTCGAATTTTACAACAATAATTGATAAATAGAATTAGAAACTGTATAAATAAAAATTTAAGCTAAAAGGAGCTGAAAAGCAGGTCTTTTTCAAATGGTATTGACACTTATGGTTCCAGCTCCCCAACCCTGGCAATATGCCTATAGTGTAATATGAAAAAACAAAATCAAAGTAAGCTTCCATTTGCTGCTGATATTCACTAAATTATTTTTTGCTAAATAATTTTTGAGGTTGAATACGTAACTTGTGACTTGACTTGAAGTTCAAGTCAAATCACATTGACACTATAGCTTAAGTCAAGTTCCAACTCTTATTTTAGTTTATCAAGTTAAGTAAAAAAAAAAAAAAAGAAAGTGATTTATATATTTATAGTTGTAAATTTTTAACGAGGGATTTTAAATTTGAAGACCACAGCTCTGGTTCCAATAAAATGTTATTAACAAACATGTGCTGCATAATGACTTACACTTAAAGTCATTCTACAGAACACAACATAGAATAATTAAACCTTTAGTTTTCAGTTGTGTTTTAAAATCAAATAAGTAACACATAGCTATCTCTTACAGGATTGTTAAATAATTTAACATTTGAATAAAATAATACATAACACATAATGATTTTGAATAATAAACATAACATAGGTATATAAAATATATTGTATGAGATGTACAGGAAATATTTTTAATGAAAAAAAATAATATTAAATGAAGAAATTAATGCAACACTAATTTGCAATTAAACTAACTATATTAGTAACATACTGAAATTCTAATAGGGAATGGAACTAACTGAAAAAATAAAATATTAAAGTAAATCAATACACTATTAGGCAGAGTGATATAATGTCAAATACAGCACTGGGAATATTTGAAATATTAAGTATTTAAAATACTATTTTAAGTATTTCTTTGTATGTGTATTTTAAATACTTTTGTAGGAAGTATTTAGCATTTTGACTTAAAATACTTTTGATTAGTATTTTGTACTCATTGCAATTACCTGTAATTCAAATACTTCTTTAAACATCCACAATGCACATGCATATTCAACTAATTGTTCGTCAAAGTTTCACTCTGCCACTATTTATTTTGATTTATTTTTTGTTTTATAACTCTTACTGTCTACCTTGGTTTAATTAGAGTGATTATTAAATTATTTCACATTTATCAAATAAATTTTGAAAAAGTTGTAAGTTTTGGTAAAGTATTTAGTACTTCAAATACTTTTTAAAATTATTTTTATTTTAAATACTTTTTAAATATTTTTATTTTAAAAACTTTTATAAAGCATTTTATCCAGCACTGCTCAAACAAACAAAAAATAATGCAAAGTTAGAACATATTAATACTGCTGGATTGTTAAGATTGCTACCTGATTTTCTTTTGCTTTTATATATTTCTGCTTTTTACAAGAATTTTTATCAAAGCCATGATGACAGTCAAATCTTTTTGTTGACAGAATAATAAAAGGAGTGTTATGAAAGTCTGAGGACATTTCCCACAATACTTTGTGATTATCAGCATGCATATCTAAATAAATATTTAACTTTTAAAATCTGTTTTGAATAGTATGTACTTATATTTATTGTAATAGAAATAAAGCTCACAATAAAGTGGAAAAAAGGAATAAAACTTTATTTCTATCAAATAAAAGGAAAACTAGCCATGTGTGTAAAATGTATAAAACAGTCAAGTTGATTAGAGATGATGATTAGAAGACTTCAAAATCAAACCGAATATACTGATTTAAATACCTGTATAACCAAAGTTCTTTGGGGTTGAAAAGGCAGCATACCGAACAGAATTATATATCTCATAATTTTGAAGACATAGATCAGCTTCTTCCACAGAATCACAAATGTAAATGTACATGTTATCTAAAATTTTTAATGTTGATCCATTTTTAGAGTTTAAATATTTTTATTCAATCAAAAATTCAGTATAACTATGACAAATTGACTCATAACAAAAATAAACAAAAACCTTGCAAACCTAATATGTTGTTTTGTTCATTATCTAAAACAAGACATTTTGAAGCTTCCTCAATAGAATTGCAAATGTGTGTTGTATTTTTTTCTAAAACTAATAATTGTTTTATTAACTTAAAAAAACATGCATTTGGTACCAAATACTTTAATATTTTTACATAATTTAAATCAAAATAAATCATAAAAAATTAATCAAATAACCTTGCACATTTAAAGAATCTTCTGCTTCATCATTTGAAATATCAGTTATGTCATCATAATCTGATAAATCTGAACTAAATAATAAGTTTGTATATATGATAAGCCCATATATATAGGCTTATCAATGATAAGCCTATATATATATAGACTTTGATAAGCCAATATATATATATCGTTGATAATGATAATTGATAAGGGTTTATCAATGATGAACCTATATATATATATAGGCTTATCAATGATTAGCCAATATATATAGACTTATAATTAAAAAAATTATAATTTTTTTAAATACTTCAATTTTTTTGTATTATTATTGTAATATTTAGTGAACAATTCGATTTTACTATTTTTTTTTTAATCATTCATATTTTGTTAAATTAACTTATGGAAACCCTAAATAACTTTTTAAAACTACCTTTTCATTGACACATCCATTTTTAATCGTTTCGATATTTGTGTTCTTTTAAAAGCCTCTTTAAATTTCGCGCATTTAGCTACCTTACGCTAACTACTCATAATTACAAGTGGACTTTGATCGACATCTGAGTGATAGTTTCTTTTTTGGAAACACATGAAATTACTAATTTATAAAAAACGGCTCACTTTATATTGTATATAAAGTGAGCCGTTTTTTATAAATTAGTAATTTCATGTGTTTCCAAAATATAAAAACAAATTCATTAAAGTAAGAGAATATAATAATTATATTGTCTAACTTTAATGAATTTGTTTTTATATTTTGGAACAAGTTTATAACAAATAAAAAATAGTTATATATTTTTTAAGATTACAATTATGTTTTAGAAACATTTAGATTTTATTTACACATATTATACAACAACAACAACAACAACAACAACAACAACAATATATTCTGAAATAATAGTTTACATTTCATGGTAGTTTACTAATAGTACGAGTACTAATCAAAGGTAAACACCAATTAAATAATAATAGCAATCATATAATAATAATAATAATAATGATAAAAGCAATAATAATAATAGCAATGAAGTTAACAACAATAGTAACAACAATAATAATATTAACAAATATCACATTCATATATTAAACAATTCCAATAAGTAATAATGGCGGTAATAAAAATGCAAATAAAATGTAAGTAATATTAACATCACATATAATAATAATACTAATAACAATAGTAATAATAATCTATTTTAAGCCTAAGATTTTAATTTGCGTATTTATCTATCAAAAAGTCAAAAAGACGGGTTTTAAATTGTGAAAAAGTGTTGAGGGATTGAAAATGAAAAGGTAAATTATTCCATGATTTTACGCATTGGTTTGTAATAGAATTATCACCGTATTTTACCGAACAGCGATTTGGGATAGATAATTTAAAGTTACTCAAAGATCGAAGGTAATAACGAGAACTTTTTTTAGTGGTAAAAAAATTGGAGAATGACGGAGGGAGGTTTACTTGTTTATGATTCCAGACAAATAGACAATTTAATAGATAAACAAGATCACATAATTTGAGTATTTTTGATAGAAAGTAAAGGATGTCAGAGTTAGAATGATACTGTTGAAAGAATATTATTTTTAAAGCTTTGTTTTGTAGGTTACATAACCTTAAAAAAGCATTAGACTTGCATTGTCCCCAAACCTGACAAGCGTATCTAAGATGAGATCCAAAAATTGCATGGTATATATTAAGTAGTGTTTCATAATTGACATAGTGGCGAATTTTGGCTAGCATCCCATTTGATCTACACAATTTTACTGCTAAGTTTTTAAGATGAGAGGAAAAGGATAGATCTGAGTCAATTTGGATTCCAAGATATTTTAATGAAAGTAAGGGAAAAATTTTTTTTCCACTTAGTCTAAAGTTTAGGTTTTTACACATTTTAGATTGATTAGATTTGAAAATAATGAGTTCAGTTTTGTTGGTATTAAGACTTAGTTTGTTAGAGCGCAGCCATTGAAGAAGGTTAGATAAATCATGGTTAATATGTTTGTTAACTTTTTTTAATGATTTGTTAGTTATGAGTAAGTTGGTGTCGTCAGCAAAATGGTAAGCCGTTGAAAATTTTAGAGAGATATTAAGATCATTTATAAAAATAAGGAAAAGCAGTGGTCCTAATACAGAACCTTGGGGTACACCAGTGGAGCATTTTATTGGAAAAGATTTGGCATCATTAATGGAGACAAATTGCGATCTATTAAAAAGATATGATGAAAACCATTGGAGAGTGTTACCTCGAACACCGTAGTGTTCCAATTTTTTTAAGAGGATGGAGTGATCAACAGAATCAAAGGCTTTCTCTAAGTCAAGAAACACTCCACATGCAAAAAGCTTATTGTCAAGAGCATTTCTAATAGTTTCAGTTATTTTAATAAGTGCATGAGTCGTGGAGTGTTTGTTACGAAACCCATACTGATGTTTGTAAAGACATTGGTTTTTGTCAAGAAAGCTATAAAGTCTGTTGTACATGGCTTTTTCAAATATTTTACTAATGTTAAGTATAAAGGTATAGATCTAAAAAATGTGTTTTTTGCTTTAAAGCGACACCATGCATTCTAGATATAAAAAAAACCTAAAAACAACATATTTACGAATTGTGTAATTTTGAAATATTTTAGTAAAGTTTTGTGCAATTTTTTTATATAGATGAATGTTAAATGCTTTTATGAAGGTTTACCTAAGTCAAAACTTAATCATGCTCCTGTAAAGTTTCAAGTCCAAAATCCAGAAATTTCAGATGATAGTGATTTGTTTACAGACTCTGATGAAGAAATAAATCCAGAAATTGTAGAATGTGGCGATTTATATAGTGAAACTGATGAAGAAATTATATTAACTGATACAGAAGATGAAGTCTGAGATAATCAATCTGATAAAAATGATTTTCAGCTAACTCAGCATAAAAAAACTAGCAAAAAAACATTGAAGTCAGATTTGGTATGGAAGAAAGAGAATCCAGAGGATATTCTGAAAAAAACTCTTCAATATCAGAATGATAATAAAATAAACGATGATTTAGACATTGTTGAACCTATTCAGTATGTAAAACGTTTTTTAAGTGACCAAATGTTGCAATTAAATTGTCGATGAATCTAATAAATATGCTATTCAAAAGAATCCTATCAAACCACTTCAGCTCGATAAAAATGAACTTGAGCAGTTTATCGGAATTTTATATGCTATGAGCATTGTTCAAATGCCATCGACCAGAATGTATTGGAGTAAGGAGTTATACTTTGAATAAATTGGAGAAGTTATGACTGTCAACAGATTTGAACAAATCAAGTTAGTTTTTCATTGCAATGATAACAATAAATTTTACAATAATCATGGAGATTAGTTATACAAGGTGCGACCTATCATTAATATGTTAAAAGACTCCTTTTCAAAACTGAAACATGAAGAAATGTTATGCCTTGATGAACAGGTTGTTCCTTATAAAGGTAAATCATCTATTAAACAGTACAACCCAATGAAACCCAAAAAATGGGGATTTAAGATTTATGTTTTATCAGGAGTAAATGGTCTTGTACACAATTTTCAAACCTTTTGTTTTGTAAATCGAATCTTTTGTCTTGCAGATCGACTTTTTTGTCTTGTAGATCGAATCTTTTGTTTTGTAGATCGAATCTTTTGTCTTGTAGATCGAATCTTTTGTCTTGTAGATCGAATCTTTTTGTTTGTAGATTGAATCTTTATGCAAAATTTCTACTTAAATAGTGTTTTCTCAAAAATTATATAAGATAGTGCACTATCTTATATGGTTTTAAATTTATTTGGTTAAAAATTTAAGATCACTAGTGATCTTAATTTTTAAAAAGATATGCTTTTCTCATATATATGTGTAAAATAAAAAATTTTCAGCAATATCTGAGATACCCCGTGTGTGACCTGTGCTCCACTTGGAATGGAATGACCACAAAGTATATCTTATTTTAAATTTTTTTCTTGCAATCGACAAGCGTTACAAATTTTATCGAGTCTTAATATTCCATATGTTTTTTTAATGAGTGTTTTGCAAGAAAGCAATAGTTTATTTTCTGTTTGTGTTTTTATTTTAGAGAAAACGAGAATAAGAAGGAACGCATTGTAAAGACAGAATATAAATATAAAACAAATATAGCAACACATTTTGAACGTGTATCTTTATTTTTCGATAATTATATTCAAGATGATTAATGATTATTTGCATGCATATTTATATCTCCTTTAATGAAAATTTTTATCTCCTTTAATTTAACATTAATTTATAACCTCAATCTTAATCTCAAACTTTATTATAATTTTAATCCTAATATTTAAATTTACCTTTTTATCCACTGAACAGTCAAAAGCTAAAAGCAAAAAAATATATATATATTAAAGAAATGTCAAAAGCAGCAGCACACTTGTATATTATAGACATACCATGTATATCATATGTCATATCACCTGTATATACATCACCATATCAGATCAAAATTACAGAGAATTCTCTCAGTGAGCTATAGCGTCCTAATATGCTTAAATTTTTCAAATCAATAAATTTTTTTTAATATTTGGTTGAGTAAGATTAGCTAGTTATTTTATGACTGTTCCCTGAAAGCTGCCTTTAGCAAAACTTGTACAAATATGGTTCATGTTCTGGTGGAGAGTTTAATTATAGAGTTGGGAAAAGATATAGATATTGTATAAGGCTGCAGGTGCTCTAAACGTTAAGCAAGAAAATATAAAATTAAAACTGTTAAAATCGACCAAGTTAGTTAGAAACATTTACACGAAATTAATTGAAACGAAACGAAAGCGAAAGGTGATGTTTCATTATTCTGTAGAACCTAGATTAGATTAGGAATTTTGAAGGTTTCTTGTTTGAAGGTATCATCGAGTTTTCATTTGAAGGTATCATCGAGTTTATACACAATAAGCAAATGTGCAAAGTTAACAATTAAAAAACTAATCAATAAAGGAATAATTTTTTTGTTTGTTAAAGTAAAAATAAAAAAGATATCTTTATATTTATTTGTTGTTGTTGTTTTAGTTGATTAGATTTTTAGAATTAGTAAAATGAAAACAGTATGGAAAGCGGCAATTAAAGTTGCACTTAAGTTTCTTAAAATAATTTAGTTTTTTAAAGCATTAAAAAAAAAAGAAACAAAAAAAAAAGAGAGAAATTTGTTTTCTTTTTTTGCTGCATTAATTATTTATTATTCTATTAGAAAATAGCTTTGTAAATTTGAAAACATGAGCAAAAAACTCATTTTTAAGTTAAAAATTCTTAACTAAAAATTCCAGACAATTTTAATCTAATTAAACCTCTCAGGAAAGTTGAAAGCAGCAGTTAAACTTTTTACAAACATCTAATTCTGACTTTAAATGCTTTTTTTTTTAGTGGTGTTGAAATTTAAAATAAAGCAAAGCCAAAACATAAAATTTATGAAAACAAATTTAAATTACATTTTAATAAGATTGCGACACTATAAGAGTTGTTTATCAATATTTTAACATAAAACAAGTATTTTAACAAATATGGATTTTTCTTTGAAAGTTTAATAGAATGGTATTATTCGATAAACAAAGGAACGGCATAATATCGCAAAAATAATTATTTTAGCATTAATATCGTTTTAAACAGTTGACGCTCGTTTCATGCTCCAATTTCTTAATTCGCGCCTAAAATGATTGTGTATTACTCACGAAATACTTCTTGTTGAAATTAGGAGTTTCTAAAACCACATAAGCATTAATTTATTTATTCAGTAGTAAAAGCATTTTTTATTTTGATTAGCAGACGACTTATTCAAAACTATTGGTTTCAACAAACAAAATGGGTTTCAATAATTTTTTTCTGTTAATGATTAGCAAAATAATAACACACCCATGAAAAAATAAAGTTGACCGTTTGTTTTATGGTATGAAATCTACCAAAAAACCAAAACAATCGAGATGACGCAATAGTCATCGCATGAAAAAGTTTAGTTCGTATGTGTTTTAAGCCGTCGTTGCTATCCTGTATTGATACATTAGGTCCTAAATGTTATTATTGGTACAATTATGTTGTATCGGTACATTAGGTCCTAAATACTATTATGTTAAGACTTGATTGTACCACTATATAATAAATGTAAAATTTGTTTCATATAATAATATACTAAATAATAAATTTAAAATAAAGTATTTTTTGCATATAATAAATTTATAACTAACCTCTTTTTCATAGAATAAAATGAAACTAAAGAAAGAAGATAAAAAAGAAGTGTACCCTAACAAAAACTTTTCGAATAAGAATAAGATTGTTTATTTGGAGGAACATTGCTTCGATGAACGTAAAGATGAAACATTACCAGAAGACTATCATAGAGGAGATATTACTTCTTCAAATCGAATGCTTGCTTATTCTGACGCTGTTACAGCAACTTGTGCAACATTTCTTGTTATACCAATAAGAAATTTAAAAAAACTTAGTGTTGAACAGTCTCTTTCTGACTTTGTTAGTGCAACTTACCATGAGCTTATTGAGTTTTTTTTGGGGTTTTTAATTGTTTTAACAGTATGGGAAAACACAAATATTCGAGCAATAGTTGTTAAGCGTGTTGACGATTTTGTTTTATCTTTAATTATATTTGAATTGTTAGCCACCACAATTCTACCATTTTCGTTGGCGTTACAAGGACATTACCCTCATGAAAAAGTTACAGTTTTTACAACATGTATTATTTTAGGAACTCTCCAAATAATAGATATTGGAATAGTTTTATATGCAACGCACTCGCCAAATCTTTTAAATACTGCATTAAAAAATTGGAAAAAGACTGACCTTAAAGAATTATTACTTGTAATGGTTATAAGACCATTAATTAGTTTGTTGTTACTAGCAATTGCTGGCGCTTTTTGTTTAGTTCATTATGGATTATCATGGGCTTTTATTGCTTTATTGATTTTTATGCCAACAATTCGCAAACTTTATTGGTTTATTTGTCGTCGAATTAAAAAGTTTAACAAAACAGAAAAAGATATATTTTTAGAGTGTTATGCAAAAGGCAATATTTCAAAAGAACGCGTTGAGGTTATGAGTGACGCAGCTATCGCTATAATTGCGTGTATTCTTGTGCTTGATATTACTGTGGATGACTTTCCCGAACCAGATAGTGTTATTGAACACGGTCTTAATTACGAGTTAAAACATATGATTCCTAAGTTTCTGGCGTTTCTTGCCACATTCTGCCTTGTTTCTGCTTTGTGGTACATCAACCATGCTGTCTTACATTTATTTAAGACGGTAAATTCCATTTTATTGTACTTTCAAAAAATATTCCTCTCGTTTAGTTGCCTTTGCCCTCTTGCTGGTAACATGTTATTACGTTTTGCTGCCAAAGGTAATTATGACTCTATTATTGCAATTCGTTTTGCTGCGACAATAGTGTTTGTTTCAAGTCTTGCGAATTTCTTTATTTTTTTGTATGGAATGCTTACTGGAGCTAAATACTTCCATAAATGGGCTTCTGTAACACACTATAAAAAAAATAAACGTCAGCATCTATACTCTTTTACTAAATCTTTAAACATACCTTTCTGGTCATTAGTTTGCATTTTTGGGAGTTTAGGACCCTCAACTTCAGCACCATATGTGTTGTGTATAACATTTATTGCTGCGCCCTGTTCATTTTTTTTTTCAAAGGTAGTTCTCATGAATCAAGTTGGAGTCACTGCATCATATTTCAAAAAAACCTGCTTACGTCGAATGTTGTTTACAAAAAAAAAGGTTGTAGAGTCTACTAACCCAAATAAAGATTTGCGTCGTAATGCTTTTTCACAACCTAATCGTTACGTCACTGAACACGATCTTAGTAGCGTTATAGAAAACAATATTGTTTGCAACTTTTGAAAAAGATTACTCGAACTATAAACGGAAAATAGTTTTAACATAATCAAAACTTTTATCAATAAAATCAAAGGAAAAAAAATACTTGTTATTTTAAAACTACTACATTATTCTAATAGTTAAACTATACCATAAATATTATTTATACTGTTATGTAAAACACTAAGCTTTTATCTTCAAAATCAAAACTTTTATCTTCAAAATCATAGTTTTAGTATTTCAGTTGTTGACGTTAAGTAGTCTAATTTTATATAACAAATATAAAATAATAACAATATAAAAATATAAAATAATAACAAGTCGTAATAACAATTTTATCATAATAATCATGGTGCATTTATTTTTGAATTTAAACTGTTATAAAAAATTAAATCTTATTTAAATTGTTTACTAAATAAAAACAAAAAATAAAAAACTTTTTACTTTGTTTACTGATGCAGGGCCGGCGCGATTAGGTGTCACGTGGGGGGTGCCATTATAACTTTTACCAACTAAAAAAAAAAAAAAGGTCCTCGTTTTTCAAAATTTGCCGACAGCGATAACGACACTTGCCGACTGACTGTCTAAATTTACAGACTAACTTGTCGAAAGGGTCTACATTTGCCGACTAACTAGTCAAAAAGGGTTTAATTTGCCGACTAAATGAACAAAAAAGTTATTGATGATCACACTACCCACACACCCATCGCGTCTTGTGCTGATGGCTGTTTTGATTTATTGAAACTCTGGCAAACTAAAACGCAATACTTTTGTTAACATTATTTAGACAGGTATAGTTTATATGTTATTTGGAAACATTTTTCTCTTAAGGATCATTAATATTACCGTTCTTTATTGTATATAATTGTAAATAAAAACATTTAACTTTATTAAATATACTGAAAATATCTTATGACACTACTCGAAATTTTTTAATTAACCACACTATCAGCGTTTTTCAGTAAAACAGCAAAAAGTATTGAACTTAACTTTTGGTATCGAGAAAGGAATTCTGTAGACAGAGTAGTTATTGACTCGAGAAATCTATTGGATTTAAAAAATTAAGTATTATAACTATGGGCATTTCTACAAATTAGTTTCATGGGGCATCAAATATAAAATATATACATTTGTATATACTAATATACTTTTTTATTTTTTATTTATTATTAGTGTACTTTACACCTAAAAACAACAAAAAAGCTAAAAGCATTTAAAAGTAGCCAAGTTTGTCAATTCCATTTGAGTTTTTTTTGTTGTTGTTTTTTATATATATATATATATATATATATATATATAAAGATGTCATTATGTTATTGTAATAGAGGTGCTATGAAACACAACATAAAAATCTCACATTCTAGCTCATCCAAAAAAAAAAAAAAAAATTTCTTATGAAAACGTTATATGAAGCGTCGAGCCTATGAGTATAAAATGTTTTTAAACTCGCTAATTTAATGTTTAAGTTTATATTTAAACTCAAAATTTTCACCTATGGTAAAAAGTGTGAAATTGTTTGCATTAGTAAAACACTTTTTTTTTATAAATTTACTGAGTGAGGTTATTTTAATGGAGAACGATATAAAGGGTGCAAAGATAAAACCTAAGCTGCTGCATCTCGGCGTTATTTGAAACGTTAACGAGAAATCAGTTAAAAATTAAAACGAGAAAAATAACGGTAACGAGAAAAATATTATTGTTGAAAACCCAGGCGTAACGAGACTCGTTAAACGGAGAGAAATTCCGAAAAAAACAAACAAGCAGAAACGAAATAGATTTATTCTCTAACTTTTTGTGAATTTTTCAAAATTTTCAAATAGTTTTATCTTAATTCGATTTTTGTAAATTTTATTTTATGAAAAAATCAACGCTTTATTATGCTTTTTATGCTATTATCCGGAAATATACTGACACTAAAAGAAGTTAGGAATTATGAAATTTTATATCTACTTTATTACATTAAAGTGAACCCAGTCAGCATCAGTAACCGTTGCACCTTTTATTATTTGATCCTCAAGAAGGTTGGGTCTGAGACGCCTTTTTTTGGATTTTAACCTGTTTTAACAAGAAAGAAAAAAATGTCATGCCACTTCTTTAACATGACAATTACTTAAATACCATTTTAAAAAAGTGTCTTAAGCACTGTAAAATAAACTATCGTATTGAGAAATTGCGAACGGTTTGTTAACTTTAGGCCTTAAAAACTTTAAAAAGTGTTTTTGAGAAATATACTGTCTAACCGCGAAATTACAATTTATTTAATGGTTTTATGTAAAGGTTTTTATTTTATTTTTATTAATGAGTTTCACCTGATCGAATTTCTGCTGGATGTAAATCAACTTGTTAACAGACACAGGTTTAAGCTTTGCTCGTTTAGTTGTAATGATGTGCCCACATGCTGAGAAAACTTTTTCAGAGGTTGTAGAGGAGATGAGTATGCACAACCAACTTTAACCTTGTTCTGGTCTTAAAGAAAATATATCTTTCTTATATTTCCACGAATCTAATGCATTGTACCATTTGTCTGTTTTAATTTTATTCATAGATATACAAGTGCCCTACTCTGTCTCAATATCGCTCCTGCACTCCAAATTTAATGAAAGTTTTTTATTAAATTTGGCACAGCAAATGAATTAGAGGTTTTTGGATATAATCTCGTTTTGCTCGAAATGAAGTGAGATTATATTTTTTATCTATCGTTATAACGAGATGGGAACGGTAAAGTAAATAGTAAGTGAATGTCTTCGAAAACGATTAATTGCTGCGTTTCGTTTTGTCAAAATTTGCTAAAATTTACCGTTACGTAATGCAACAGCTTAGTAAGACCAGAGATGTCTATATATTTTCATTTAAAAATAATGATTTTTTAAGTAATGTAAATTATTCATGCCGCTTGCTGGAGTCAGTGTCATGCACAACTACTTTTTCCCTTGCAACTTGGTTGGTTAAAAAACTATAAAACTAACCACAAACAATATGTTTACAAGGAAAACAAGTTTTTAACTCAGGAAAGTATAAACATGCTTTTCAATAACAAGGCAAAATTTGAAAAAAAGTTTCTAAGTTCTAAGTTATCTCTAAACATTGATAAAGCTAAACGGACACATTTCATGTTTAAACGGACACATTTTATGTTCAAACGGACACATTTCATGTTCAAAAACGAAGATCGCAATTTTTTGATGCCTGATATTTTGTAGACATTAAAAGTGAAAAAGTTTTAAAAATTTAACTAAGTTACAGTGGCAGAACTACTGGACGCAGGACCCTGCGTTGCGGGGGGGCCTACCAGCTATAGGGGGCCCTCATATAAAAAAAGTTATACTCTCAATAATATTTATATTATAAAACTCATTTCCGCAAAAAAAATATTCTTTTGCGGGGGGGGCCCAAATTTTGAAGTTCCGCCACTGCTAAGTTATATAGATGATAGTTGGAAAAATTACCTTGATAGCTTCTCATCAAAAGTTACTCAATCTAACAGTATTAAATAATATATATATATATATATATATATATATATATATATATATATATATATATATATATATATATATATATATATATATATATATATATATATATATATATATATATATATATATAACAAAATAAGTAATGGCTGGAACAAGAAGAAGACATAGTTCTGTCTTATCACCAAACCCTATTTTTATAAATATCATACTATATTGGCGTAAATATACAATGTAGTAAACAGTAATTGCTAAAATACTTACATTTGCAAAAAGAAATAAAAGGTAGCTGCAGTTGCAAAAAAACGATTATATGCTTGTAATTAAAAAAAAAAAAAGATGAAAAAAAAAAAGAGAGATTTACATATATTTATATTGAGAGAGTAATATCATTAATAAACTTTGTTATGGTGGATTGTGATAATAACATTCTTTCAAAAGAATTTTTTTATTTAAGTTTTTTTCATTTAAATCTTAATTTTTTGTTTAAAAGAAACATTTAAAATCTAGCATTCCTAAAATTAAAAATAAAGAAGTTCAGCATTCCTATCAGGAAATGTCACTCTTCCAACATGCAAACCCTTTTGAGCACATTTATCACATCCAAAATAAGCATTGTGGCTTATACAACCTTTCAAAAATGCCTGTGCTGGTGCATCACAAATAAATGAAGATATTTTAAACCTGCATACTTTTCCACTAATATTAATACCTTCACTAATAAGGGTATTGGCTTCTTCCACAAATTTCATTAGAAACTTAGACGCATACCTGGGCTTTGTATTACCATAGAAAAGTCCTACTAAAAATGGATGTTTGTTACACTGTTTTTTGTTTTCAAACTGTTCAATTAAACCTAAAATTGACCAAAACTGTCCATTTTTACTTTTAAACAATGGCAATCCATCAACATTAATTTGAACTGACACAGAATCAATGCATTTTAAGTTGAAACTAGCTAAACTATCTATAACCCCCTGCTGAATGCCATAACGCCAATACTCTCCGTCAGCAATAATGTTAATCGGAATAATAGCTTTTGAAGAAGAGTTCTAGGATCTTTTGGTAATTGTAAATAAGGAAATGAATTTATCAATAATTCTAAAAGTGATGAAAATGCTTTTGTTGTTATCTTAAACACTAAAGCCCATTTTCGTAAATTGTACTTAAATTCACAGTTTTCCCAAGATTTACCACCAGAATCTTCAAAGATAGCTAATTCATCTCTAATATCCGGAAAGTCAGAATAATTTAAACTACATTCCAAATTTTTTTCAATTTTATTATAATCAACCACGTTTTCTACTGCATCACAATATGTTTGCACATTAGAGCATGGAAGATCTTTAGCAGAATTTACATCAAAAATATTTGTAACAGGTAAGCTACTTGATTGAAAAGTTTCAAACATGGAATTTTTATTTGTTAAACTAACTGGAACAACCTCAAAAACTGATTCACAAGAGTCTTCCAATGCTTCTAAACTTTTTTTTACATTTGTGCGTATCTTTCTTCGCTTGGTCCAGTAGCTCATTTTAAACTAAAAGCATA